TGTGTGTGTGTGTGTGTGTGTGTGTGTGTGTGTGTGTGTACACGTGGTGAAGCACCAAACCAATGTGCCAGGATCTGGACAATAAAGTAAACGGCTACCATCGCATGGCGAGCCGTCTCAAGCAAGACGATAATTTTGCCTCAACATTGTAACAGCAGGGTTGTGTTCGTATCGATCATGTGTCTGCCTTCGTTGTCACTGTTGTTGTTGTTGTTGTTGTTGTTGTTGTTGTTGTTGTTGTTGTTGTTGTTGTTGTTGTTGTTGTTGTTGTTAATATTGTTGTTGTTGCTGTTGTTGTTAATATTGTTATTACTGTTGTTATTGATGTTGTTGTTACTGTTGCCGTTGTTCATATTGTTGTTGTTATGTTTTTATTGTTGCTCATAATATTGTTGTTATTGTAGTTGTTGTTTGTGTTGTTGTTGTTGCTGTTGTTGTTGGTTGTCGTTGTTGTTGTTGTTGTTGTCGTTGTTGTTGTTGTTGTTGTTGCTATTTGTGTTGTTGTTAATATGTTGTTGCTGTTGTTGGCGTTGTTGGTGCTGTTGTTATTGTTTGTGTTGTTGTTGTTGTTGTTGTTGTTGTTGTTAGATGACATTGAAATAAACAATATCGTTGGCATGTTCACGGGTCAATTCATAAGTACCATGATATAAAATACAATGCATGTTCAGTTTTTGTGAACTAAATGAAAATGTTCACAACTTTTATCCCCCTACAGATCTCGACATAGGACTCAACAGATGAGATCCCATGTGGGTGGTTGGCGGGTGCTCTGGTGCGATCTGCTTCTTCTTTCCTATCAAACATCTGTCGTCCTTTTCTCCCCTCCTTCTGTTTCGTGTTTGTTTCTCTCAAGTAACCCCTCTAATCTTCAACACTTATATGACCTTATTGTGTTGCAAGGGTCGTAAAACTCTTACTAAAACTAAACTGAGATCCCATTAATTTCCCGCCCACCCCATCATGGCAGAAAGCAGCACCCATGCATCAACCAAGTCGTCTGCCGTCCGCCCACAGATCGCTTTACAAAAACACAGTATTGTTGAGGGGCGAGAGTACGGCTGGGCAATGGGTCGCTTTAGCAAAATCCGGATAATGTGTTAGAGCACCATTTCGGCAATTAAATGGGTCGTGAACCGCTTCGACAAACGGGTTGGAACCACTTCAATAAATTATGGGTGCACCAACTTCGGGAAACGGGTTAGGGCATAGATTAAAAGTCGGAATTCGGACAATGTTTCATTGAGAATTATCCGGTTATCCGGATTTTGCCCACCACTAGTCGTGCGTAGTTGCCTGGAATTCCCATAGACTTGGACTATGCATGGAATATCCTAGACCTGGCGCTCTTTTCTCTCTTTTTCTTTGTTTTTTAAAGGTATAAAAAAACAGAACAGAACAACAACAAAAAAAACTTCGCTCGTTGCGCTGGCGCACACCATGGGCGTATAAATGAAGAGCATAACCCCAGGCTCGCTATAGGCGAGTGCGTGGGCAACTTGTCCGTTTCTTGCCTTTCATTTGGTTCCCAATAGAGTCAAATTTGAAGCTTCATGGTGAAATGAGGCGCTCATCAAAAGAATGACATCGACGATACAGACTTTTTTCCGCGGTTGCGCATTTTTTTTTTTTGGCTCAACACTTTTTGTGTCTACGTAATAACACAATCCCATGTAAGTTTGACTGAAACATGTCTATTGAAGGCATAAAATAGGTAATTTTGCAGTTACGAAGGATTCACAAGCTTGAAATTACCAAAGTTTGGCGACCATTTTCTCGCTAGTTTTATAACTGAAACCAGGTGACCCTACCTCCTTCAATCGCAAATATCTCGGCTTCTATTCAAGACAGATGAGTATTTTTTTCATTGAAAGAAAGACAAATGAATAAGCTTTAAGGTGATCCCCCATAACTCCATATGCCCAAAAATTGGCGAGCGCCTGATTCCACCTCGTTGCAAAACATCTTAATGGCATGCTCCGAGATGAACCGGAAATATGTCAGGAGTGCCCAGTCTCGGATATAATACTACAGGTCTATGGGAATTCCTTCCTTCCAGTCAGACGGACATAGAGTTGTTTTGAGGTGCGGCGCGTCTTGCTTAGAACACACAGCTGTGTGTCTCTTTTCAAACGCGACACGCCAGGCATTTTAC